TTCTGTTGTAGTGTTTGCAATTATCATTAGTTATATATTATTGAAGCGAGACGTGGCACTCCCACTCACCATGGTTCTCCTCTTCATTCCAACTGCTACTGCTGTACCAGAACATCAGCTCAAAGGTGCTATTCAAACCATTGTTTCTGCTGCTGCTGCCACAGATTGCTGGATATGCACCCTACTGGATTCCTCTACTGGACTGGGAATTGAGTTTGTCCCTCTCAGCCCAAACGACTGGTGGAACAAGAGCGACATCTTCCGATAGGGACCGGTATGGTTCGATGACAGCAACTACTGCAATCCTCAAGATGACTCTGAGGGGAGGTCAAGGGGGTGGCACTGGACATGGCAACGGACGGTATGGTGCAAGTCAGTAGAATATGTAACTGGAACCTCCAAAGAAATGTACCCCATTTGTTTTGAAAGTAAGGAAGGCAGTGGACCTCAGCTGGGTAGCTTTGAGGACCAACAGTGTACCCACATTGTAACTTTCAATAAGAAACTAGGAGCCTGGGATATTCACACATCAGGGAACACTAAATTGCTGGGAAAATGTTATCAATGTCTCCCTTGGTCACAGACCCCTGTTTGGCATTAGCAATGCTGTCATTATCCCCTTGAATTTTAGCCAGTACCAGGAAAGCAGTACCTGGTACAATAATTCCCTTTTAATAGTCCCTAGCACTGGACACATCTATAACCCTACACTGGTAAATGGTAGTAGCCTGTTGCCTGACCTGTGTGCTAAGGCAGACCTCTTGCCACCAGACCAGATCCTACAAGATCTGCTGTTCGCTCTCCAGTACTCTATCACTAATAGTAGTTACTATGCTGTGTACCTTGCCCCAAAGGAGAGACACACAGGAAGGGGATGGTATAAGGGACCATATTCCCCTATCCTTAACAAAGATTATTTTTCATTTGTGGGAATAAGGCCTACAAATATCTGCCAGTAGGCTGGACAGGATGGTGCTTTCTGGGACATGAGGGTATGTCTACACTACCCCCCTAGTTCAAACTAGGGGGGTAATGTATGCATACCGAACTTGCTAATGAAGCCCGGGATTTGAATTTCCCGGGCTTCATTAGCATAAAGCCGGCTCCTAAAAGCCGGCTTTTAAAAATGGCGGAGCCGGCTTTATGCTAATGAAGCCCGGGAAATTCAAATCCCGGGCTTCATTAGCAAGTTCGGTATGCATACATTACCCCCCTAATTCGAACTAGGGGGGTAGTGTAGACATACCCTCAGAGGGTTAACGGTACACCCACACATTACAGCTCCAGATATCACAAACCTTGGAAGCTTCTTGCACCAATCCAAGAAGAAATTTACTATTAACCCTCTTGTGAGGCGTCCCACAGGTTTCCATCAATTTACCCATGCATTCTTGCCCTGGCTTGGAGTAGCTGAACTTGAACAAGCCATAGTAAATGTGTCAGGGCAACTAGAAATAGCTTTCAACCACACTGCAGATGCTCTGGGCCTACTCAACAAACAGATCCAATCAGTGGCCCGCTTTGCCCTACAAAATAGAATAGCATTAGATGCAATCTTAGCCCAGTAAGGAGGAGTATGTGCTGTGATTAATCAATCTTGTTATTTCTAAGTGAACCATTCGGGGCAGATTGAACAAGATGTGTCTGCTATAAAAGATGCAGTTAAAGTGTTACATGCTGTAACTAAGGACGGGGAAATCTCATGGTTAAATTGGTTAGTCCAACAGTTGGGATTTTCCCTAACTCCTTTCTTACATTCCATTAGAACTACTGTTTTAACTATTGTAATTGTTGTAATCATTTTCTGCATAACCTTATGTATTGTAAAATGCCTAGTTAATGTAGCTATCTCTTCCATGCACATCCAATATACAGCACTAGGAAAGGATCCCAGCCAATTCCTCGATCCTGAAACCCCTAATCAGACCATTGGGCACTTTTAGATTCCCCCAAGGTGGGCAAAAGGTGCTGGCATCACCACCATCTTGTATCCTGGGACGTGGTGCGTTTGCCACATATGAACCCCCTATAACATCCATCTTTGCTTGCCTGGAAGCATACAGGGCACACAGAGCAGTAAAATCTGCATAGTCTTTGAAGCGTTGACAGGAGGCCCGGATATGCTAGCTCACAAGTGACCCTGGACAACTGTAAGCAGAGATAAGAGGGTGGTCGAACTAATCGCTGACCAAGAGGCTGCCGATGAGTGCCCTTGATTGAAACCCATATTGATATGATCACACACTCGTCCGGGGGGAGGAATCTCCCGCCCAGCAAAGAATGTCCAGTACTCCTATTTAGTTATCTCTCTCTTACAAGTGTAAATTATTTGAAACTCCCTTGTAAGAACTGGCACCACAAAGACGGACCAGTACAATTTGGCATCTTAGATAAGAAAGAGGATACGGGCCCCCAGGGGTATAAAGATGGGTCCAGCAGCACACTCATTCTAAGCGTTGATCTGCCATCTACCTGCTGGCCAGATTAGGTGTTTGACCTCCCGAGGTTCCACGGGGACGCCCACCTCGTATTCGCCTTTCCGAGGAATTGAGGGACCGACCCTGGCCTGACCCGCTGGAGTCAAGAGGCACAGAAGGGGATAAAAATTGTACCTGTATGTGTCCTTTGTTTAAGTATATACATAGTATTAGAGCTCTTTTAGATTAAGCTGTCACTTGGTACCATTATTTCCTATCTTCCTTTTCCTTTGTAACCATTTTAAGATCTATATTTGCTAGCAGTTAAGAAATAGAGCAATAGCCACTGTAACCGCATGCTTTATAAGCCTTTTTAATAAACCTGTAACTGGTTAAGTTTTAACCTGACTCCTTCAGTTTTTGTAACAGAACCAAGCACAATTTAAAATAACTCCAGCTGGTCATAAGAGACAGATACAGGCAGAGCTGGGCATTTGGATCGTGTCACTTCCAGGGATCAGATCCGTAGGGGCATCTCTCAGCCTTCCCTAGGCTGCCCGCTGCGAAGGGATCATGTTTCCTAGCACTCAAAATCTGAGGTGTAATAAGCTCTCCCTGTTGGCTGCCCGCCGCGACGTGACCCTGGTCCTAGCGGTTAAAGACACGGATGTTAAACTTCTTGGGGCACCCGTCAGTCTTCCCTATGGCCGCCCGCTGCAACAGGACCTTGTGTCCCAGCAGTTGAAGACTCGGGTGTATAACACACACACACACAGAGGCTACGTCTATATTGGCCCCTTCTCCGGAAGAGGCATGTTAATTTCCAACTTCAGAATAGGGAAATCCACGGGGGATTTAAATATCCCCTGCGGGATTTAAATAAACATGGCCGCCGCTTTTTTTCCGGCTTGGGGAAAAGCCGGAAAAAAGCATTTAGACTGGCACGATCAGCCGGAAAAAAGCGTTTAGACTGGCACGATCCTCTGGAATAAAGCCCTTTTCCGGAGGATCTCTTATTCCTACTTTGAAGAATAAGAGATCTTCCGGAAAAGGGCTTTATTCCGGAGGATCACGCCAGTCTAGACGCTTTTTTCCGGCTTTTCTCCAAGCCGGAAAAAAAGCGGTGGCCATGTTTATTTAAATCCCGCGGGGGATATTTAAATCCCCCGCGGATTTCCCTATTCTGAAGTTGGAAATTAACATGCCTCTTCCGGAGAAGGGGCCAATGTAGACGTAGCCACACTGTCCTGACCATCAGCTGACAGAGCCCTCTGTGTTTTTAGGGGACAGTATTGCTAAATATTTGCCATCCTGCAAGGATTTACATGTGTTTTTATATTGTATTAATAGTTCAACCCAAAAACCACTTATTTACTGGGAAGCAAAACAAAATAAAAAAATCTCCAGTGATAAAGTATTGTTACATAATATTCTTAGAGATGCACTATTGACAAAGCCAGAGGGAACATAATGTTGGAAATATATCAGAAAAATAACATTACTGCTTTTATTTTTTTAATGTATTCAACACAGTTATATAAGTCTCTCATTTTACAAAACTTAACATATAAAATTTTAAAACAAGACTTTTTGGCTTCTGATAAATCATATACAGAGGCTGTGTCTACATTGGCATGATTTTGCACAAAAGCTGCTGCAGATTAGAACTGTAGTCCTATAGTTATTTTTCACTGATCCAGCCACATATGGGGTACGTCTAGACTGGCAAGATTTTGCGCAGAAGCGGGTGCTTTTGCGCAAAATCTTGCCGCCTGTCTATACTGACAGGGAGTTCTTGCGCAAGAACACTAACATTCTAATGTATGAAATCAGTGCTTCTTGCGCAAGAACTATGATGCTTCCACTCAGCGATACGCCCTCTTATGCAACTGTTCTTGCGCAACAGGCCAGTGTAGACAGGCAACATTAATTTCTTGCGCAAGAAAGCCAGATGGCTAAAATGGTCATTGGAGCTTTCTTGCGCAAGAGAGCATCTACACTGGCACAGATGCTTTTGCGCAAAAGCACATCTCTTGTGCAAAGGCACATGCCAGTGTAGACGCTCTCTTGCGCAAATACTTTAACGCAAAAACTCTTGCGTTAAAAGTATTTGCGCAAAATCTTGTCAATGTAGACGTAGCCAGAGAGAAGGGCATGCTAAAACTGAGGTCAGTTTTGGACTATAATAATTTACAATAACAGATTTTATACTAGAGATATGTAACAGATGAACAATAATTTAATCAGAAACTCAACAGAAGTACTATTCAATAACAGGAAAAGAGGAAGTGCAGTCCCTTTCCAGCCTAAGCCAGCTGAGGAGTCTCCAACCCTGCCACTCTCCTACAATGGGCTGCTTTCAAGGGGGAGGCCAGATTTCATGGTCCGTGACATTTTTTTCACAGCCATGAATTTTAGAGAGCCCTAACCATAAAGCATTGTAAAAAAAAAACATTATTTTGACAAAATCAATGAAGCTTCCCCAGCTGTACTCATTATGTTTTTACTTTAATTTACATGACAGTTTTATAGTTTAAAATACTTACTTAGAAATACAAATAATACACCCAGTAAAATACATTTATTATGATAAATGATAATGGGAAAGAGAGTCTGGCATAGGTATCTATATGATATGGGTTTTTAACATAGAAGCAGTCAGAGATACAGAAGAGTTTTTTCATCACTGTCATTGGAGAACTACACCCACTGTGTTTACTTTTCTCCTTTTTTCTGCTACTGCTGGTATTGATGTTTTTCTTTGAATCAACCTTGTTAATCTTGTCAGAAACTTTACAACTGTTTGCAATTGCTGACAGTACTCCATTAATCTCTTCTTCAACCTCTTCATCCTCATCCTGACAGGAAACAAAACAGCAGGACGGAGGCACTTAAGCATATATTCTATCGCATATATTTACATTGGCACTGAAGTGAATTATTAGATTTCCCTGTGACTCCCTTTTTGTAGTGTACACCTGATTATAGTGGATATATACATACAGAGAAGTACCTAGTATCAATTTTCAAAGTCTCTATATACAGAACAACATGATGGCTTACATGGTGGGTTTTGGCAAAAGTTCAAATCTGACTGTAAAGGGAAAATAGACGTACACAGAAATGTTCTATCAAACACTGAAGAGAACATGAAATCTGATGAATATATCGAAGAAGATAAACAACATTTTTATTAGAAAGGTCAAGTTAATTTTCAACACCTACAACTTGTATAGGAGTATATCCTTATTTTAGCAGATCAGTGGAGCTACAACTACTCATAGTTCAAGCTAGGTCTACCAGCAAGTTTAAGTACCTCATAATTCTGGAGAATCTCTTTGCACAGTAGACTGACTATTCTTCAGTCTCCTAGGCTTATGATGAAGATTGATCTCTTTTAAAAAAATTTTAAAAAGCACTTACAAGAATCGAGAAGAGGAATGAATCCCACAACTGACTGAATACAGGCAGTCCCCAGGTTACGTACAAGATAGGTTTGTTCTTAAGTTGAATTTGTATGTAAGTCGGAACTGGTACATATTGTAGGGGAAACTCTAGCCAAACATTTCTCCAGAGCTCAGTTTTATTCTCCCACACCTCACTTCCCTCAGTCCTTTATTCTCAAGCTGAGGTGTCTGCTGAGAAAAGCCGCTCCGTGTCTCCCTGGTCTGCTGGGGGGAAGCAGCTAGTGTGGGGTTGCCTCACCCCATTTGTAAGTAGGGATCCGATGTAAGTCGGATCCATGTAACCCGGGGACTGCCTGTACTTCAATATTTCATAATCCCTTATTTAAGTTCTTGATCCAGCAAAGCACTTGAAACACATGCTGAACCTTCAGTGGGTTAAAATTAAACACATGCTTAAGTGCTTTGCTGAAAAAGGGCAGCACTTCTTTGAGTCCTACACTCATTTCAAGGGGGTTTATTTTGCTTTGACTGGAGAGGGTATTGATCAGAAAGTTCATGGCTGAAGTCCTCTCACTTTGAAATCTGTGGGGGTTCTGCTGCTGCTTTCAGTGGGGTCAGGTTTCTACCTCAGATTTAGGCCTAAACTGCACTGAGTCAGTGAAACAGAATAGAGGGAACTGGAAAAATGATCATCACTGTTTTTAGTTTTTCAATTTGCCAGAAAAATCTAGTGTCTTCTGACTGACAGAGATATACCATGCATAGCATAGTGGGTATTCCCAGAAAATGCACCTGGTGGTAAATATTCTTTTTATTTGCAAGATAGTTTCTTGCAGCAATGTCAGTAATTTGAAACAAAAAAACTGAGTTAAAATATATTTATAAACCTGAGATAAGACCAAGCCATAAAATTCCAGTCTGCATTTTAAAAACTGCCTAAGGAAATGTTAAATGTGGAGTTTTACTGTGAACCGATTTCTTAGCTCTTCTGCTTTAAAAACTGTACTCCGCACATCATTTTCAGGATGCCAGAGGAAATCCTTCCCAGCAGTGTCTCTGACATTTTAAACAAAGCATCAAGGCTGAGGTATAAGGATTGTAACTGGTACTTCAAAAGTTAATAAAATCAAGAACCCTGTCAGAAGAAACCTGACTGTTCCCATGCTCCCATTTTTATAAGAAAGGCAAAAGGAGCAGAACAACATCTGTGCTTTAAAAATGGTGGGAGTTAGTGCTCTGTTCAGTTCAAAGTTTGATTTCTCACCCAGGTTAAGTCAAATAAAACTTGTACAGAATTACAGTTTTATTGCATAGCAGGAAAGAATGCTTCCTATGTGCCACTTTTCACACACCTGCACTAGAACGATTCACAGGTGGCTGATGCTTTATTAGGTTAGTCTCAACTCATTTTTTTCCCCTGAGAAGATCTTAAAACTCGAGAGGAAAATGCTGTCTCTGATGAGGTGCATATTTGGCTTCTATTACAGTGTTACAAGCCACTGTTCTCTCACAGAACATAAAACAATGTATTTACAGCACAAGTTTGATTATCAGATTGCCCTTGTAAAAAAAAAACCCAGAATCTTCAACAAAATTACCAATACCTCTCTGCCTTGCTAATAAGAACGTCCAAACTGGGTCAGACCAAAGGTTCATCAGGCCAGTATTCTGTCTGCTGACAGTGTCCAATATCAGATGCCCCGGAGGCTGTGTCTACACTGGCCCCTTCTTCGGAAGAGGCATGCTAATTTCTAACTTTGGAATAGGGAAATCCGCCGGGGATTTAAATATCCCCCGCGGGATTTAAATAAACATGTCTGCCGCTTTTTTTCCGGCTTGGGGAAAAGCCGGAAAAGAGCGTCCAGACTGGTGCGATCCTCCGGAATAAAGCCCTTTTCTGGAGGATCTCTTATTCCTACCTGAAGTATTCCTACCTGAAATATTCCTACCTGAATAAGAGATCCTCTGGAAAAGGGCTTTATTCTGGAGGATCGCGCCAGTCTGGACACTCTTTTCTGGCTTTTCCCCAAGCCGGAAAAAAAGCGGCGGCCATGTTTATTTAAATCCCGCGGGGGATATTTAAATCCCCGGCGGATTTCCCTATTCCAAAGTTAGAAATTAGCATGCCTCTTCCGAAGAAGGGGCCAGTGTAGACACAGCCTCCGGGGCATCTGGTATTGGACACTGTCAGCAGACAGGACACTGGCCTGATGAACCTTTGGTCTGACCCAGTTTGGACGTTTTAACCTTGGTCTCCATGAATCTATCTAGTTCTTTTTTGAACCCTGTTAAAGTTCTAGCTTTCATCGCATCCTCTGGCAAGGAGTTCCACAGGTTGACTGTGCACTGAGTAAAGAAAAACTTTCTTTTGTTTGTTTTAAACCTGCTGCCTATTAATTTCATTTGGTGACACCTAGTTCTTATATTGTGGGAATAAGTAAATAACTTAAATAACTTATATAATCAGGGATATTGGGGGATTTTTGAAAAAGACAAAGTTTGGGAAGGCTTTCTCACTGTGTGAGAAGAAAAAATAAGCTATTTTATATTATGAAAACGTTTTATTTACAGAGAGAGACCAACTGCAGGTATATTTTTAAATGTGATAGCATTTACCCTTCTCTCACTCCCAACTCTTAATGAGAGAATAACAGATGGCACTATAAAGGGATTTGGTTGAATACAAAAATCAGCAGCATCCATAGAAAGGTACTGTGTGTGAGTTGAAAAGTACTGAATAAGGCATCTGTTGTTGCTGTTTATACCAACCAAAGTGTCTGACATCCAATAGCTGACAGAAGGAAAGATGTCACTTCTGTTAAATATTCTAGATTTTCAAGATGAATATTGTTTCAACCAGGAGTGTCACGGTGTCTGGTGTACCTGGAAATTTATTTAGCAAGCCAATTTAAAATGCTTGCATAGGCAACACGATGCTGGGCACTGTAGCTGCAGCAGGCACGACAAGTAGATACAAGACTAAGACTATGGCTATGCTACGAACTTTTTCCAGAAGAGGAAATGAGAACGGAGCGCTCGTTTGCATATCTCGCGCTCTCATTTGCATATTCTCTTCCAATCCTTTTTGAGGAAGGAGGTTTTTGCACAAAAATGCACTGTGTAGATGGTGTCTTTTTGTGAAAAACCCTCCCTTTTGTGCAAGATACCTTCTTCTTCCTTGCCCCAGACTGGGACAAGCAGGGACTGAGCCAGACTGCCTTACTGCCTGGCTCCTACTACATTTAGGAGGTAGGTAGGCAGGCAACCTGGCTCAGTCCCTGATCGAGCTGGGTCCAGGACCAAATCCCACTGCAGCTCTGCAATTTAAAATGCAGTAGGAGCCGGATAATTCTGTCGACTTCTCAGTTAGGAGTCAGAGCTATGGCCCTGTTCCACTTCATGCCAACCTTCAGAAAAAGGGGTATGCATCGAGGGAAATAATTTACTCCATCTTAATGTATATAGCAGATTGTTCACTCCCTTTTGTGCATGGAACAGCCCCAAACTGTGCCTTTCCTCCTTCTGGAGGAACTCTACACCTTTTCCTACACACAGTTGCAACATTAATGACACAATGCCAAAAACTTCAGATATTCATGAACTATTCTTTGTTACCATACTTGGTTATATAATCTAGAGACATAAAGTGGCCTCAAGTAAAAATGGGCCTAAGCTATGAAATTCAGATTTGGATTCCTAATACCCCAGGCATCAAAAGTACTTAATTTCCTAGTTTTTTCAGACCTATAGTGCCTTTAGTGTCTGTATTGTAAGAAATATTTCTATTAAAGTATGTACAATTCCCAATAATAATGCAGGTACCCTACTCTCCTGAAAAGGGGTCCCCTAGGTATTTATTTTACTCAAATATATAAACTTTTAAATACCTTTGTGAGTACTTTCAAATTGGAATGATGAAGAGTGCAGAAATGAGTCACAGCATACTCCACCAAAGCCCCAAAGATGAAACTAAAACAAATACCAAGGTAAACATCAATTGCCTTTATGAAGCAGTTAGCATTAGGCAGCGAAGTCCTGGCTCCCATCATGAGTGTTGTCATGGTAAGTACTGTTGTGACACCTGCAGAGCACAAGGAATGAGGTAAAAAGTGGTGCTAGTTACAACATTCTATGCAGCATTTGCTATAGCTGCAAACTAGTGTTTTCTGAGCTTTCAGGTCACTGTGAACACTGTGGTGTGAGCAACCACACTTACTGCTGGATGTTCAGGAAATAAGACTTTTAACTATATTAAGATTTTGAATCTACATGTTTTGAAAAAATAGAAGAATAAAGTTAATAATCCTGTGAGTCTGTAAACTCAAATGAGAGGGATTTAGATGATGTATACTGTACACTTGTGATTCTTACAGTATTATGCAAACAGTCTGGATAGACCTTGACTACATAGATGTTTTTAAAATCACAGTGTAATTATCTTGCATCTGTTCTGTGCAGCATTCATATGAAAGTAGGTAGAGTGACCATTTCTATGAAATTACATACACTGCACCAATATTGCTCCATTCCACTGTGTTTACTCTATACGGACTCCTTTCCTTTTTGCAACTCAAGAAACATGAAGTTATCCATCAATCTACAGTATCACAAGGTAATTGCCTAAAATACAAAAGTGTTTGCACCTTCTGCAAATTATTGCTATGCACTGTACAACAAAGAATACCTCCTAATGTTTCAACCTCTGTTTTGTTTTTTTCTGTTACTCACCGATGCAGATTCTGGCTGGAACTGAGGACTGGCTTATCCAGAACGATACCCAGGAGAGTACAACTAGCAAGATGGATGGTACATATGTCTCTAGAATGAAATACAAGATGTTCCTCTTGAGCTCAAAATGGAATACTAACTTTGGATAGCGTCCTGTGAAAAAAGCAACAAGCAACCTTTTGAAAAAACAATTGGTCAGAATAAAGTAATGTTAGATGGTGCTGCTTACAATAATTTCTTGCAAATGTCAATTTTTAACAATTAAATGTTTTTTCTAAGTTTGTCTTGCACAGTTCCCAACAAATCTGTTTACTTTCCAGTTCTGAAATTTTGGCAGTAAAAGCTCTAATTAGTTCCAAATTGGAAAACAAATATTGTAATTCCCATCAATTTTGCTTTGCTCAAATTCCAGAACAATGAGGAGAGTCTTTCTTAAAGTAAATCTATATTTCATATGTGAGAGCCACTCTTTCTGTACACTGAACCTGAGCAAAGAGATTTTGTACAGAATATTAAATTAGGATAAATGGAGTAGGAAGAGGAAATAAAATTATCAATCTACTGGGAAAGCAATTAACTAAATCAATCTACAGTATCACAAGGTAACTTTAAGAATTTGGCTGTTGGAAATTGATTTAAATATAGCTATTTGCAGCATATTAGCAATTGGCATCAGCAAATATTATTTAAACAGACACCGTAATCATATTTTATAACACATAATTAGCTGTAGTGACTGCATCCATTTGGATTCATTTGTTCGTAGTTCTTTTATTTATTTCCCCCCTATATCTGGGTTACAACTACTTTCACAAAGCTTGCTGGGCTACAGTTTCTATTTCTTTTCAGAACCAAAGCTACAATTTTTTGTATCATTATGGTCCACTCCTTTTAAATTTTATTTCTATATCTATATAAACAATGTTTGCAGTGTTTGTAGTATAATAGTTCCTCTTACATTTACTGCTTTCAACAGCAAGCCATTCACAATCAAATCTTTAGTCACTGTGAGAGTGTATTGGAGACAATTTTTTATATCAGAAGGTGGAGAAAACCTCCAGGGGAAATCTGTTCTAGATGTGATGTTGACAAATAAGGAAGAACTGATTGAGAATTGGAAAATGAAATGAATTTTGGGTGAAAATGATCGTGAAATAATAGTTCATGATTCTAAGGCATGGTAAGAGGGAAAAAAATCACAATAAAGATAATTGATTTTAAGAAGACTGCTACAGCAAATTCAGAGAGTTGGTAAGTAAGATCCCATAGAAAGGCGTCGCCTATGTCTAGACTGCAGGCTTCTTTTGGAAGAAGCTTTTCCGGAAGAGGTCTTCTGGAAAAGTTTTTTCAGAAGAGAGTGTCTACACAGCAAAAGCGCATTGATAAAATGATCTGCTTTTTCGAAAGAGAGCATCCAACACTGAATGGACACTATCTCACATTTAAGCTGTGATTACTATGGACAGAGTGACCACCAGGTCACCTGTGCTTTTTCCTCTTTCCTCTTCTTTCAAAAGAATTCCCTCTTCCCTGTCCACACATGCCTTTTTCCAAAAGAGCTCTTTCAGAAAAAGACTTCTTCCTTGTAGAAAGAGGTTTACCAATGTTGGAAAAAAACCACTGTTTTTTTTTCCCCCCAAAAGAATGCAATTGCAGTGTGGAGGTAAGTTAAGTTTTTTTGGAAAAACAGCTGTTTTTCTGAAAAAACAGCAGTGTTGACACACCCACAGGATATGAGTGCATGAGAGTTGGCAGTTTTTCAGAGACACCTTATTAAGGGCACAAGAGCAAACTAGCCCACTGTATAGGACAGATAGGAAGTATGGCAAGAGACAACTCTGTCTTAATTAGGAGATCTTCAATTATCTGAACTAAAAAAAAGAATTCTACACAAAGTGGAAACTAGGTCAAATTACAAACAATGACTATAAAACACAAGTATATAGTGAGAGAATTAGAAAGGCAAAAATGAGATTAAACTAACTAGAGATATAAAGAGTAATGAATTTTTTTTATAAATGCATTAACAAGAGGAAGAGAAAGGACAGAGTAGGTCAGTTACTCAGTGGAGAATGGAGGGCAGAGGGTGGAGTAAGCAATAACAGAAAATATGAAAATGTCGGAAGTCCTAAATGAATTTTGTGTTTCATTTTTCACCAGAAAGTTTAGTAGCAATTGGACATCTAACTTAATGAATGCCAATGAAACTCATAGAATCGTGGAATACTAGAACTGGAAGGGACTTTGAGAGGTCATCAAGTCCAGTTCACCTGCCCTCATGGCAGGATCAAGCACCATAGATCATCCCTGATAGATGTTTATCTAACCTGCTCTTAAATATCTCAAATTCTAGAGAGTCCACAACCTCCCTACGCAATTTATTACAATGTTTATCCACCCTAACAGTTGAGAAGTTTCTCTTAATGTCTGACCTAAACCTCCCTTGCTGCAATTTAAGCCCATTGCTTCTTGTCCTCTTATCAGAGATTAAGGAGAACAATGTTTCCTTCCTTCTCCTTGTAACACTCTTTTAGAATGAGATAGGATGAATAGAGCCTGATGAAATACACCCTAAAATACTCAAAGATCTGACTGAGGAAATATCTAAACCATTAATGATTATCTTTGAAAAGTCATGGAAGAAGGGTAAGATTACAGAGGCCTGGAGAAGGGCAAATATAGTGCCCATCTATAAAATGAGAAATAAGGCCAGCCCAGGAAATTACAGACTAGTCAGTAGCCAGAAAGAACATGGAGCAAATAATTAAGCAATCAATTTCCAGAGATCTAAAAGATAATGAGGTGATAAGTAATCTTGTGGATTTTGGGCAAGGGGAGCAGTACATGTATGTCTTGACTTTAGTAAGGCTTTTAAACTGTCTCGCATGAGGTGCATATATTACTGGTTTGAAAACCAATCAAAGAGAATTGTTATCAGTAGTTCATGGTCAAACTGGAAAGAAAAGAATCCTAGATTCTTAAATGAGCTGTTGTATGTCTAGGAAATTAAAATTCAGTATGTGAATTTGCCTTCGCCTTAAGTTCCCTCTTGGCTATAAAATGCATGAAAAAAAGAAATAATCTGATTTTATTCACATAATTGGATCTATAATTAATGTTCAATGCAAACTTTATTTTGAGTGTTACAAAAAGATGATAAGCATTAGGTTTAAAACATTCAAGTATTTCCAACCTCTGTGATTACTTCTTCTACCAGAATATCAGTTAAAGGGTGAAATTCAGATATTGACTATGGTCAGTTGACTTCAGCTATTTTTATTTGACTCAGTGAAGTTATGTGTTTGCTTCTAATAGTGTGTGCCATGAGTCATGCTTGTGCTATGTAAATATGGACGCACTCCATCTATAGGCCACAACAGCAATATCTGCATGAATAGGCTATTTGTGCATCTCTCAGGTGCCTTGTGAATTCTGAGATTGCACTTCATGCTGTTAAAAAGCATTCTCAGTAGCAATCTACAAATGCACACACAGGTCTGTCTTATTGCTACTAGACTAGAGTATGGCTGCTTAAATTTAAATGCTTAAATTACATATATAAAGCTGTTAAAATTATTGTTACAATGAGCTTGGGTGCATTAGAAAGTTGTACTGCATTAACTAGGTCAGTATAGTTGAGACTGCCACCTCCTTAATGGGGTCAGTTTTATACTACAATAGGGGCATGTCCACAATAACAAAAAGATCAACCTTCTGGAGGTAGATCTTCTAGTGTTTGATTTAGCTACAATAACAAAAAGATCAACCTTCTGGCGGTAGATCTTCTAGTGTTTGATTTAGCAGTAAATCGAATGCTGAGAGCAGCCCCTTGTTGATGTCCAGCAGTCCTCATTCTGCAATAAGTAAGAGAAGCCTCCCACTGAGTAGACACTGCCACAGTTTGGCTTAAGGTAAGCCAACTCCAGCTATGCAAAATGTTTAGCTGGAAGTCATGTACCTTAAACCATGCCTAGCAGATTTATACAGATGCAGGTATTTTTACAGGGAAAGGAAAACTATACTAACATGATTCTCCTTTATATCAATATATCTGCTTCTCTACTATGTTTAGCCAATACAATTATAAAATCATTTCCCTAACCAAAAGAATTATTCTAGTAAAATTTTCAAGGGTGGGTCAGGCTGAAGTGAAGCATTCAAAAGTTTAAAAATGTCAAATTTTTATGGTTTCTCACACAACATTTATTCTGCCCCTTTCTCCATCCACGTGGTGCATTAAACAAGGCAAAGGCACTGGGGAAACAATACTGTGCAGTCATGTAATGACACAATATAAAGTAAAGCTGCACAATTGTGTGGTCAACTGTAAATTAGTCATTTTCTAACTTGATTTGACAACCTTTTCAACATTCTTCTAAGCAATTTTTTGCATGAAATTTCCTAGTTTTTTTTTTTAAGGAAAAAGCCAAACACAGATTCTGTAATGTGCAACTGTAACAGTGCCCCAGCATCAGCAGAGTTTGACTTCTCAGCCTTCAACGCTGCAGCAGAAATGCTATTAGCAGACTGCAGGGGAATGTTGCTGTCCCAGAGCTGAAGAGATGGGCAACTGGCACTATAAGCTGAGACTGAGTGGTCTCTACTCCAGTAGATCAGGAGCTCATGTCCCATTTCGGGACTCTATGGGCAGGGTGGGTCTCTGTGCCCATATGCAGAAGTCCAGGAAGGGGAATGGCATTGGTGGAGAGACCATGCCCTTCAGCAACCACTACCACTGTCTGTCAGCTCCTATCATTCCCAGTGATGTGTGCGCTACTGCACTGCTACTTTGCTGATAGCATGAGCTCAGCCTTAGACTGTCCAGCTTATTGGGATTTGTCATGTGGCCATCATGTCTTGTGCCATGCAAGCAAAAAATGGGAAATGAAGGGATTTTTCATGGTTTATAACTCAGAATATGTCTACATAGCAAGCCTCAGTGCCCAGGTCAACAGAGTTGGGCTTGTAGTGTTGCACTAAAAATAGCTGTGTAGACAATTGTGGCTCAGACTGGAACTCAGATTCTGAAGCCTTTCTGGGCTGCATGTCTACACAACTATTGTTAGTGCTGCAGAACAGGGCTAAGTCTGTCATCCTGGGTCATATGGCTCACTGCTACTGGGTGTAATTTCATGGCACAAAGTCACTCTTCT